GGTTGATGGAGATGCGAGTGACCCATGGGTCCTGTCGACCCAGTCCGAGTCGGAGCAAGACTGGTTGCGCTTGGTCCGAGCGCCGTTGCCGATGCGGCGAGGATGAGAGGGAAGAGCTTCATAAGGTCAGAGAGCGGTATCGATAGCGAGGTAAATTTATCATACCTTCGAGCCCAGCAGCTTCTGCCTATGACTTTGAGCGGCGCGTGGTTGCTGGGTACGAGATAAAGAGTCGACCATGGCTCGTTTCTCTGTGGCGACGAGGGGGCTTATTATTGAGTGGATGGTTGACGACCAATGGAAGCGGCGATATGGGGAGGGAAGAGCCTGTCCGAGAACATTTGAGGCCAGATGAGTGTTGGGAGGAAAAGATGTCTGATCACCAGTTTAGATTATTGAGCGCTTGAACTCGAGCACCAATACTTATCCTCCCTAAGACGTCTGTATTTGCTTCATGTGCGTGTTTGCGGTGTGTGTTGAACGTGAACGAGCTCAAAACGAGGTATACTACATAAAAGTATTCACGGCCTCGAGGTCGTACTGCCTACCTGAGTAAGAGACAGATTCTGAGCCTGAAAATGCAAGAAAAAAATAGCTGTGAAGAGTGTCTGAGAGTGGAGTAAGTGTGGGGAGAAGCGAATTATAGGTATCGAAGATGGGTGTAAGTAGGTGTAAGTCTGCGCGTAGGTATGGCACGATTGAGGACATGAAGATGTCCGCAGGCATAGGCACCAGTGGTCGATATGCTTCTCCGCCGTCGAGAACTTGCGTACCCAGATTGAAGAGCCTTCAATTTCGCGAGCAAACTTGTCCATAGAGTCTGTGAATCACTTTTGCAGCGAAAATGTGCCTAAAACGACCGCGGACGACTAACGCAGGGCCCAAGCGTGTGCGAAAACGTCCCAAAGCACCAGAATATATGGACAGGAATGCGGAAACACAGAGTTTCGATTGGTCGTGACTTGTAGTAGGGATGCAAAGTCGCTTCGAATGTAAATGTCGGCGTTGTCGAAAACAGCGTCAAAGAGAGCCTTCTCGTTCATCGCAGCGCCCAAGAAGAATTCGGTGGAACAAATGGTGTGTAATGCACCCCGGGATACAGTCGGTAGGAGCGTCGGTAATGCAGGCGCAGAGCTGCAAGCTCGAATGTGGGCAGCGTGACGGTGACGTATGTGACCTTCAAAGGAGGCGACGGAAAAGTGTCGTACCCAGCAAGGGCTGACTCTGCCAATGGCCGAAGTAGCAAGGAGTAGCGCTTGCAAAAATGTGGAGAGACGAAAGAGTGTCGTGGAAGGAATATATAGGATTTGTGAGGGTTGCGAGTGGTCATCGGCGGGAATAGGCCTCTTTCCCAGAAATACACCGCTTGCTAATGGACATAGGCGCGAGAGTGTCGATAGGGTGGAGAAGGGTATAAGGTGGCGCGCGGGCGGACAGGGCGGGGAGGAACTCCGTCTGAAGCGGCTTGGACTTGTGTGTCTGGTTATCGCAACCGGTAGCAGACTCATTCTGCTTTCGCGCAGTCTGGAAATCGCCAACGCCATAGCCACCCAGTGGCAGCAGCAACCCAACCCTGGCAAGCAAGGTTATCGCATCCGCCTGACGCGTGTTTGCGAGTCGTTTTCGTGGGACCTGCAAGCGCTTCCGAGCAGGATAAGGCTTGCGCAAGTTGATGAGACAAATGTCCTGCTCCCATCGTCACGATTAAATGGGGAGTCGGCAAGCATCTGCGGAGAGAAAAAAAGAGAGCAAGACAAATCGTGCTTTGCGCACCAAAGAGAGCTACACCACCATGTCGCCATAGGTCTTTCTCCTTTGGAAGGTGAGGGATGTTGGATCGAGGCGGTAGTACCACGTAACATCGTGCAGAAATAGAGTCCGCTCAGGCTGAGGCGAAGCCAAGTCAGAACTACTTTGTGTGGTGGGCCGTAACACACACCTGGCTGCTCGTGGGCCAGACGGATGACAACTATGGGTGTAAGGGAGAAGGGAGAGACAGGTGCTTGGGGCGGGGAGGGCGAAGTGGACATCTGTGGTGGTGGAGGAGCGGAAGAAGAAGAGTGGATTCTTATCACATGTCGATCCGTCTTGCCGCCCACCCTCAAGTGCTAATCGCCGGCCTGCTTTTATTCACACCAGCATTCTACTTGAACGATGAGCCACTACACATCTGCCGTATCCTTGCAGACAGCCCCGAGTAACTTGAATGTAAGTAAACGTTGTTGGAACAGGACAGCTCGGGGAGACTCGCTCGGGACAGCCAAGTTGGGGCAGGAGATGACGGGAAGAATCTGGGTTCATAGGAGGCTATACACAGGTTATATATACCCTACATAGGGGCTATGGCTGGGCAGTGACCAGCGAACAATGCGACGCGGTCCACATTTCAACACTCCCACTGAGCGCGACGCGCTGTGAGCTCCTCATATTCCACATGCATACTCAGCTCCCACTGATGCAAAGCTCCACCACCCAGGACTGCAGTATACCAAGTTGACGGCGGGGCCGGGAGCAAAGCGAGGGTTCGATTCCAGTCCATCGAGAGATTTATCATATCTGGTGCCATATGCGAACTCCAGTCGCTTTCGAGTCGGTCGGGACGTACGGCATGCTCGGCGCATCCGCAGTGGTCAGTTCGGGTACGGGGCCCATCGCAATCCCTCGGCGGGTCGATGGGTTAAGGGGGAAACAATTCCAAGACGGGGACTTGCGGCGGGGTACGATGGCCGGTGACTAGCGGCGGGGGTTACAGGAGCGGCGCAGGCAGGGCTGTCGAGGCTTTCGGGGCCCATAACCTGTTGGAACAGGACAGCTCGGGGAGACTCGCTCGGGACAGCCAAGTTGGGGCAGGAGATGACGGGAAGAATCTGGTTCATAGGAGGCTATACACAGGTTATATATACCCTACATAGGGGCTATGGCTGGGCAGTGACCAGCGAACAACGCGATACGCTCCACATTTCAACAAATGTGTTGATGGTACATATTAGTATTCACTCAGACAAGCATCTACGACTATGGCCCTGAGGGGAGAAAGCGCAGACCAAGAACTCAACGCACAAATTCCTTCTAGGCTCCACGATATTCTGGCAATTCCTCGTGCACTTCCTCCATCGTTTGCTGCTCATCGCTGTCATCCAGTACATGTCGCTTGCGAGGTAACGGCGCCAAGCCTGAGCTTGAGCGTGTCGTCTCGGCGATAAGGGTCGGTGGTGGTACCGCCCAGGACTCCGAAGAGTTCAGAGAGTGCAATGGAGCTCTGCGAATAGGTGTACCGAGGTTGTCTGGTCGTTTAGGGTTGCGGGGCTCGGAAGCAGAGCGTGAAGACACTGGTTGGCTGGCTGAGTGGCTCGAAGGATGATAGCTTGTAAACACGTCTACCATACCGAGGGCAGGATGTGGGGAGATGAGAGCGGCTGTCTGGAACTGATCTTGTCGCCGTTTCCGCCGCCAGCAGAGAAGCAGAACGACCAACAATCCGAGTACAGCAACTGCAGCAATAATTGCGCCGACTAGACCACGAAGGGACATCTTGGCCTTGGGAGATGGGCTGGGAGGGGCGGAGGTGGTGGCCGTTGGTGAAGACGAGAAGGAGAAGTTGCTCTTACTTTGAGACGAGGATGGAACAGGTTCATCGAGCGCAACAGAGCTGAGTAAAGCTTGGATTGCATTGATTTGGGACGATATGTCAAACGTGACGCCTGCAGGCCCGTGCCTGTCTCCGCCATAGATGTCCCCACCATTTTGCTTTGCGAGGTCGACAACGCTCCTTGAGCGAGAGCAATCCTGTTCTCGCGAGAGGTAGTGAGGCTTGGTTTCTGTGTTGTGAGTAAGCAACGACTATCTCGACGGGAGAATGAGCTACGAACGCGCTATGAAGAGCCTGGAGACTGCGCGACCACCCCTACCACTACAGCCGCCCAGATGAAGATGAAGGGAAGAAGCATGAGATGTGTATGAAGTGTGCGAGTTAATGACTTCCTGTAGCTATAATTGCAGCGGCCCACCGGTTGCAGCTAGGTTCCGAGCTATCTGTCGACTTCCAGATGATGCTGACCCGCATGTGGGCGGCGCCACGATGGTAATATGGCTAAGATGGGCCATTGCGCTGCAGTTCTTGGGCATTAGGCTGTTACGAGAGGCACCAAAGAGCACAGATAGTCATTTCGAACCAAGTCATGGCAGATGTTGAGGCAGTACCGGTATTGTCGGCGTCCCGCTATGCCGGGGTTGACTGCCCAAGACGAGAAACAGGATGTGTGACAGGAAAGTGACAGCACTGCTTTCACTTTTCCTCTCCACTCTATGCTCCATCTACGACACCGCCCACCGTTTTCAATGGCACTCAGACGCAGTTGTCGGAAGCGCACGGGGAGGCGCTGCCCTCCATTGCCGTGCTCATGGTCAAAAGTCTAGACACTGGTCGAAGAAAAACACCATGTCAAATTATCAATATGAAGCTTGAAGACGAGTCAGCAAGTAGTTCGCGACAGGTGCGTGTCTCCGCCTACATTTGCTTCCAAAGTAGCTGAAAATGTTCATAAGTCTCACCCATCTTCTTGTGGTTCCGTCATATTCTCGCCCCCACTCCCCCCGCGAACATCTCTATTCCAAGACGCACTACTACTTATACCGCCCCAAACACTGCTGTCGACGCAGCTTTGCGAGCGAACGACAGAGTCTGTTGAGAACATCCCTCAGGAGTGTGTGTGAATCGATGGTGGGTCGTTCTCTGTCATTTTTCGGCGCTCTTGCTGACGAGCCTTCAGCTTTTCTTCTTCTCGGTTGTACCAGCCCCACCGCTTTACGTCTAAGAGGCCCAACCGTCAATACCCGACCACACGCTGGCAGATGGTTCCCGCCAATTCTAATACCTCCCACAACTCATCGAAAATATGCTCTCAGAAGTAGTCGGAAACGCATAAGGAGGCTACTGCCTTCCGTCGCAGTGTTTGTGGTCATAAGTCTGGACGCTGGTCGAAGAAAATAACGATGTACTCATGGAGCTTGAAGACGGGTTAGCAAGTAGTTTCGCGATAGGTGCGTCTTTGCAACCACATTCGCTTCCAAAGTCGCTGAAGATGCTTATGAGCCCCACAAACCCTCTTGTGGCACTGTCTTATTCTTGCTCCCACTCCTACCGAAAGTAGCATCCCCATTCTGAGACACGCTATCTGTACCGCCATGAACAACGCCGTCAAAAACGCGCGCACCTTTCCAAACGAATGGCAGAGCCTGTTGGGGAGATGCCTCTGGTGTGTGCGAATCAATGGTTTGTCATTCTCTGTCCTTTTTTAGGGTTTGTTGCTAACGAGCGCGTTTAGCTCTTCTTATTCTTCTCTTTAACACCAACTCCACCGCTTTACGTCTGAGGCCCAACCTGCGATACCGACCCACGCATCGACAGATAGTTGCCACCCACCTAATACCCCCCCACAATTCATCGAAAACACGCACCAGTTATCATATCGTCCACATCTATGGGTTTTCGACCTCTCTCATATCATCCACCACACTCGCATCCATTCCATCCAGCCCACCCTCTGTTCTGCTGGAGACGTCATCGTCATTGTTACGTGTCGAGGAGGAGATTTTGCAGCTTATTGTGCCTGTCGTTCGTGATTCTACGAGCCCCGCCTCGCTCTTCCTGGGTCAATGCTCATCTGGCATTGCGGCTTTGGGATGGACTACGACGAGAACCGAATCGTCGACGGCATCCCTGGAATTTTGCACAATTGGGGTCGAAATCGTTCGAGCTGTTGTGGATAGAAGGGAAGAGGGTGGAGTCAGACTTGGAGCCCTTCGGTGCGGTGGGTCTGGATGGGAAAGCACGATGAAGACCGCGACGGACAACAATGCCGATGCCTTGGTACTACGACTACTCGTGAGGTTTACTTCTCTTTTTCTCTTCCTATCTCTTCTATCGATCCACTTCATTAGCTCCCTGCTACGCATATCTTGTATCTTTCTTCTTGGCCCAGAATTGTCTCTGTATTGTTTACAGTCCATCGTTACTTCAGTTTTCGCGGGCGTCTTTCGGTGGGAACAGCTCCAGAGTGAATACAAGCGGCGGCTCCTGCGCAATCAAGTACTGGATCCTGCTCTCCACGAAGTCACTCAAAACCCGCTCTATTATCCAGAGATCGCCTCCGATGCTTAAGTGCGTGAGGCGGGGAATCAAGATCTGAGAATCGGCGTCCACGGAGCGGTCTGGCACAGTAAGCCTTTGCAGAACAGTCGTTGTAAAGAGTGCGGGAAAGTGAGTGTTTGACGTGTCCACAAGAAGATACTCCAGACTGTGGAGGTGGGCAAGGGCTTCATTGAGCTCTCTGTCACTCATGACAGCTGTTATTTTGAGAGTGGTAAGGCTGGTGGCCCAGCCGGAACGCTCCGCAAGGGCACAGAACGCTGCATGGTTCCAGTTTGCAGTTGGCGGGTTACGGTGGTCGTGGGGTGGGATGCGCACCGTCAAACTTGTCAATTGCGGAAGGGAGAGACAAGACAGTATGCTTCTGGTGGGGAGATGATCATCGATCGTGCCACGGGCCGATGCCCACATCCAAAGTGTAAAGCTGTGGACTCGAAGGATTGTTGTTGGGTTACTTGGGGGAACGTTCTGTGCTATCGGCAGTTCCCAGTTGCCGCGCAGAGGATCGTAGCAGAACTTGAACACCACGCTAGCGTTTTCTGGAAGTTGGTCCAGCGGCGAGGCGAGCAATTCTGTCGCGTAGTCTGCAAGGTCTGCACTATTCAGGTTCACTCGGCATGAAAGAAAAGTAAGTTGACGCCATTGGCTCGGAGGCAGAATAGGCAGATTTCCAATGTGACCGGAAAAGGAGAGCTTTTTCAGATGAAAGGCCGCAGAAAACGCACGAATTGGGGCAGATAACTTCTCCAAGGCATTAAGTGAGCCTATGTCCAGATCCAATACCTCCAACGCGTCCAGTCGATTCAGAGTGCGTTCCAGCAACGGAAGAGCTGTGTGCTCAGTGACATGCAACGCGACACGTCGCCAGCGGTGTGAATGCCGCATGAGGGCTCGAATAATGTGTCCCTGTGGTTCTATTTGACCACGGCAGGAAGCTTGAAAGTCCAGAGGCTGCCCACACCCTCGAGCTAATACACGCTCCAGCAAGGCAAGCGAGGCGTATTTCCAGGATAAGATGTCTGCGTGAACGACGAGCTGATTCCAAAGGCTGCTTGTGCTCCACGTCACGTCTCTCCATCGCAAACAGACCTATGCCCTTGTAAGTAGATCCAGTGTGGAATGGTTGGCAAACTCACCAACGACAAGGAGAAAAGGCTTGGCTTTGCCAGGCGCTCCATCGCAATCGTGAAAGAATTTATTCCTGACAGCATATCCTTCCCATGCTCCTGCGTCAGGACGCAGAGCTCGAAAATTTGACCCAAGATCTCAGCGGGCAATTGGCGGATCGGCGAGTCAACGACCCCGCGACAGAGCTCGATATGCGCGGAGAGCTTGTCTCGCTCTGCAGTTGCTTGTCGCACCAGGCCTTCCAGGTTTGCAATGTGTGTATCGTAGTTGGCAACCTCCTTCTGAGCGTCATCGATTTGAGCGAGGATTTCTAAATGAGTGGATTGGGGAACCGGTTGGCTTGAGCGAAGAAGGGCCACGATTCGCTCTCTTTCGGCGGCAGATGGGGCGGGAGGCGGCTTGAAGGTGCAGATACAAGTAGGATACTGGGTTGACGTTGCTGCATTCATTGTGGTCAAAGCGATGGACGGTCACGCGGTGACAGCACTCTCCTCTTACCTTCACTCAAAGATGCTCGGCGCGGCAGTCAGCACATTGGTCCTCCAGCCTTCAAGTGTAAAGGTGGCGGACATCTGTCTGTAGCACAATGGGACCAAGCCGTGATGTGATAGCGGAGGAGAACTCGAAAATGCGGGCTGCTCTGTCAATGGACCTATGGTCGCTGGTACGTTTCCTCCCGCTTGCTTCCTCGAGATGACTTCTTCATCTTGTCCAGAGCTACTACCCAACGACGTCTTGGCTCCTCCACTGTGGTTGCTGCTCTGCGGGAGCGTCAACTTGAAGTAGCCCACTTGCTAGCGGCGATGGTACCGGTGGATTCAGATGGTGTGTCGTCCCTGGAGAGAGTCTGTCTCTTGCTAACGTTTGAAAGTTTCGCGGGCTGACCGGTCAGCGACCGGTCAGGCCACGATCTTTCGCACACTCCAGTGTTTGGCCCAGGGCTGAAAAGGAGGAAGAACATCGATGGAGAGCACCATCACGGTTCTGGCTCGATGGCAACAAGGGACACAAAAAGGGTCGCAAGTGAATGGATGGAGGACAACTGGCAAATGGTGCGCTCGAGTTGCGGAGGTGTAGCTGGCCGCTGGCAAAGGACTACGAGTACGGGGAAGCACTTGGACAATCTATGGAAGTGTTCCGCTTTTCTCTCATTAAATTCCTCATCTCTTGCTACATATACATCCTGCAACGACTCCGCACTTCTGCAACTGCTCCCTGCTGCTCCCGTTCCTCTGCCTGGCCCTTCGATACATGCTGACGTTGCTGGTTTGGTCCTCCCAATATGCCTTTGAATTCTTCGTGACAGTCTTTGGCTGGCCGTAAGGGAATGCTTGCGAAAGCGCTTACCAGTGCTTCAAGTATGACGGCGCTAAAGCCTCGACCACGGAATGTTTGCAAGCACAAATCCAGGCGCCAGTCCTTCATCGTCATCTTCGTCGTAAATAAGTCGCCTCGAGCACCTCATCAAGTCATCTCCATGAAAGGACTTGTTGACGGACTCGTAAGGGAAAGGCTCAGATGAAGCATAATCAGTAGAGGCAGCCACTTGGAGGCAAAAGTTAAGTCGGTGATGTATGCAGAGTAAGAGTAACGACCGTCATAACGAGAGCAAGCACAATTGATATCGAGATTGAAAGCAAGAAGTACGTCAAGAGCGTATGGAAGATATAGTGGGGGGAATGAGTAAAGGGTGGAGAAATAGTGACAAGGGGCCAAAAACACCCGCAGAGGTCAAAGGCGGTGCCAAAGCGCGTCCAAAAACCTTGACGATCCTCAAGGCATATGCGAGGACACGTAAAGATGCACATTTCCAAGACGCTGTGGCTTGTCGTACGAGTGCAAAGTTGATTTAAGTGCAAATGTGGTTGTTGTCAAAAATGGCATCGACAAGGACCATTTTTGGCGCCTGGCAAGAATTGGGTGACTTGACGAATGTGTGATGCACCATGAGATACACTCGAGATAGGCGTGGGTAGCAAGAGGACAGCCGCAAAGTCGGATGTAGGCAGCGTGACGGTGACGGATGTGACTTGCAAAGGAGGCAGCGAAAAGATTGTCATAGAAGAGGGTGTCTACTCCGCAAGTGGCGGGAGTAGAAAGAGGTGGCGCTTGTGTAGAGGAGCGAGAGGCTGTCGTGGAAGGGGAATGCATATTTGGCAGGGTGGGTGGTCATTGGCGAGAATAGGTCTCACTTCTGAGGAATACAATGCTTCTGGCCCACCGTGTGTCGATGAGAAGAGACGCAAGCTTTTCAGAGTAGGGGAGGGCATAAGATGATATGTGGGTGGGTCACCTGTACACGGGGTTTTTTTTAAAAAAGCCTTCTCATTACCAGTGTTAATGTTTTTAAAAAATGCCTCTAATTTATGCCCCTGCCAAAAGGCGGGTTTTACATAGGGAAATGAGAGATCAAAAAAAGGTTTAAAAGGTTGAAAAGCCTTGTCAGGGTGGGCAGTGTGGTAGCTATAAGGCCCCAGACCTGACGTGTGGAAAATTCCTTAAGTATGGGGAAAATACTGAGTAGGGGAAAGGCTAAAAAAGAGGAGAAAAATTGTTGATGCCAAGGTGCCAAGAAAGATACAGAGTTTGACAGCGTGGATTTTATTAAAATGAGGGGAAGACTTGTAAATCACTGATGTTTTTTAAAAATGTTAATATTCTAATTACAAGAGATGTTTTTAAAAAAAACCCCGTATACGCCTGGGTGGGTGGACATGTTGATCTGGCTCCCTGCGCGTTGCGTCGATGATGCTACCGGGCGGCTATGGCCTTGGCCTTTCCAGCCTGCCTAGAAGCAAAGTAAGTATATGACTGGCTTCGAGAGAACGATACAACGCGCATATTTGAACCGCTTCATTCTGAGTTTCTCTCCGCCCTAACCGCTTGTGGCTTGTTTCCAGATCGTTCTCGGGGGACACGCAAGCGTTTCAAACAGCGCAAGGTCGTAAGTGGGTGCCTTTTCCCTTTTTTCGTTGTCAAGCAGGGATTCAGAGAGCATCTGTGGAGATAAAAAATGTGAGCAAAAATGCGAGGGAGGCCGCGCTTTGCGCACCAAGAAGACCAGCAGTTCGCTCCCCAGTAACATCCCACTGAGCTCTTGCCCTCTAAGAGCTTGCACATATCAGTTGTGGCAGCAGTTGTGCCACGGAGCATTGGGCAGAAACAGTGTCCGCTGATCATGAGGCGAAGCTTAGGGAAGTTAGTAGGTCCTCGCGCAGCGAACTGTAAAACAGACATGGCTGTTCGTGGGCCTAGAGTAGGTATGGGTATGGTTGAGAGCGACGGATTCTTGAAGAGCGAAATGGCCATGTGTGGTGGAAGTGTCAAAGAAGAATGGGTGGTGTCATGTGATCGGCACACTTTCGCCAATAACCATTACTTATGACAAACTGTTTCCTCTGTTCGTTCCGCCCGGAGGCTCTCAGCTTGCCTTCTGCCTCTCAAATCGAACACCTCCACTATATCACTCGTTCAAACCTTCCTACTCCCATGGAAATTTCCGCCAAAACACTCGATGCCGTGTCTGCGACTATTGCCGCTTATGACGCCCATCTGTCCCAGTTGGAGGAACTGGTCCGCACAGTCACCGAAGAACGAGCGCGGGCTGTCCTCTATGCATCTCAGTGCAAGAGTCTCCTCTCGTCGCACATCCGCCGGCTCCCAACCGAGATTCTGGCCTCCATCTTCGAATTGTCTGTGCTGACATCGCGTGCCCATATGTACCGCACTGTGCAGGAAATTCGAAATTCTGATGCAGTGTTGAGGAACCTGGTCAATCCCAACCTTCATTCTCTCATGCAGGTGAGCTCAAGTTCACGAGCAGCACTCACAGTAATGTTGACTGCCCTTGAGGTTTGCGCGCACTGGCGGGAGGTAGCATTGTC